TTCACATTGTATTCGGTGGCTTATATTTCTTAACAAAAAGTCAAATTAAACAGGTGTTATTCTCATAAACCTTTTGTATTCCATTTGATCATCTACTGCGAGCTCTCTTGAGCTTAGTGCGAGTGCGAGTGTCGTGTGAACGTGAACATCGTTGGTTCGCCGCTTGTCGCCCTTCAGAACACGGCTGTGCGATCTTCCCACCCCCGCGTGTAGGCAGCCAACAGTACTGGGTCCCGCTGCAGCTGTGCCGTGATCATCTGCCGTTCCCGTGCCGCCGTGGTGGTGTTAGTGCCCTCCTCCAGGCTGGCTGCCCTCAGCAGCTGTTGGCTGCGTTCCAGCAGTTCCGCCGCTTGTTGGAGGGTGGTGGGTATCGTAGGCCGTTGTTGTCCCTCCATTTGGTAGTGTGATGCTGTTCCGACTAAAATTATGTACACAAAATGCTATTGTGGATTTATGGTTGGGGGGGTTGGGTGGTGGGTGTTTGGTGCCCTGCGGTATTCGCACGTTTGAGGCAGGACACGTGTATTTTGCGTGCTGGCTGTTGGTCTGTGATGAACACACCTTTGCCTACGCATTTTTGCAGTTTTACCGGTCCCCAACATTTCGGTGCGAAGCCGGCGTGAAACTTTTTGTGCGCGCTTGACAGGTGGTGTGCCTTGTAGTACACCGTGTCACCTGTTTTGTACTTTGTACAATGGCCACTTCTTACAGGTGGTGCGGTCAGTACGTTGTTTTCGCGACTCACCCTATCCATATTTATTTGTTCGATCGAATTCTGTCCGCGACAGTATCCAGTCCCCCGGCCTCTTGCCCTCTCTCCTGAGGACGAGTACCGATGGTGGATATCCTGTCCGGTCGTTACGTCTGTTCCTGATCGAAAAAAGTATGGGGGCTAGCTTGGTGTCCCAGGTGTTGTGGTTGCCATCGATGAGTAGCGCGCATAGAAATTTTTTTAGTTCCTGGTTACGGCGTTCGACTGGGTTGGAAATCGGGTGATATACCGGAGTTGTCCAGCCCTCGAGGGGGTATGCCTCGTTCCATCTACTAAACAGGTCCGTGGCGACCAGTATATATTGTTTCCCCCTACTCGTACGCGTGGTGAGGTGGGTACTCCTACTAGTCGTTCCTCGAGGTGTTCTTCGTTTACCGGTGGCCCAGTGGTTGGATTGCGGGTGAGCATGTCCGGCGCCTCGTTCTGTACGACGGGCACATGCGTGGTTTTGTAGTCCAGCTGTACAGGTCCTGAATTTGTATTTTTGGCTCGGTGTAGCCATGTGAGTGCTGAATCTTATAGTAATATCTTACTAGCATCGGTCTGTAGGCAAAACGGTTTTCCGTAATCCGGCGTCGAAAGTTTTGGCGAATCGTACAGGGCTCGTTTTATTTTTTTAAATGCCGCCTGTTTGGTTTCGGTCCACCACCATTTATTTGAGCCTATTCGTTAGGGGTGCTATGGTGTCCGCGTAGTTGTCGACGATAACTAGCTGTACCAGTTGCAAACTCCCAGGAACTTCCGTAGGTTCCTCAGTTTTGTTGGTGGGGGGTAGTTAATGATGCCATCTACCCAATCGGAAATTTACAACAGGCACAGTACTTTATCAGTACTAACTAGTACTGGCCCACTATTGACAGCAAATACTGGTACCTGTAATGGCATATATCTGGGATGATAACACTTTTCTGTACTTTATTTCCAGTACTTGGATAGTACTGATATCTAGCAAAGGCGCAGTAATGACATTGAGTAAAGGTGCAGTACTGTCATCCAGTACTGGTACCCGTGATGTCATATGTCTGGGATGATAACGCTTTTCCTTACTGGATTACCAGTACATAGCCAGTACTGACGTTAAATAAAGACGCAGTACTGAATATTGCTGGCATATGTCTGGGATGGTAACAGTTTACTGTACCTACTGGATTTCTTATACTTTACCATTCCTAACATATATAACTGTTTCCATACTGGTATAGTAAGAATTTCCCTACTGGAATGCTATACTATCATAAATTTGGCTATTATATAACTATAATACTAATCTGTATAAACTACCTTATGGCCTAATATTATTGTTGGTCAGTACCCAAAATACTCTACTGATATTTACAATTTTAAATTTAGAAATACAATTTTCTTCAAATAATATACATATAATTAACTGTATCAAATCTCAAACTGAAGTCATGATAAAAAAATTAACATAATAATCTTAACTTTGACATTATACTGTATTAGAAAATAAAAATAAAAGGTTTTAATAACAAATATTAGATTGTAAAAAATAAATGAATATAATATTTCAACTTAAAAATTATACTGTATTAAAAAAAAAAACAACTTGTTTTTATAGCAATTCTTCATCATATTCTATTTTTTCAACTCTATATGATTGTTTTTTTTAAACTCCTTTCTTTTTTTCCGCCTTCTCTATCTTTAGCACCCGAAAACCAACGACTTAGTATGCTCGATATTTCTTTATTATTGGTTTCAGGAAACTTCATAGTAAGCACTTCTAAATTAAAAAATAAATTATTCATGAAGTAACAGAGACATATAATGTGTACAATAAATTTAAGAGTAGCATTTAGGACTATTATACCTGATAACAGTTTGTAAGTTTCGGTTAACGAAAAATTCATTTTCTTAACTCCATTTGTTTCTCTGCCAAAAGCACTGTAGAGTAGTTGTACGGGTTTTGACAATATTTTTGGAATGACGGATGTTAGGTTTTTTGATAATTTTGCAGAACTTTTAATATTAAGTACCATGAAACATTTCTGAAAAATGAATTAAAAAATAAACTGTACATATTATAAAGAATTTATATTTACTAGATTTTTCATTAATTCAATGTCATTTTTCAATCCATCATCAAAATCTATAAAACTTGATAAATCCATTTTTGGTAAATCAGTCATAGTTTTTTCTTGTAATATTTTTTCAATATTAACATAACTACTATTTGTAGCAAATAATGCTCTTGTTAGTCTAGCTTCTTCTTTGATTCTATAGTCCATGCTTCTTCGCAATGACTCAATATGAGCCTTGGGTGCAGGGGCATCTGTAGCTGTAATGGAAATTTAAATTTAACAAAATATTAAAAAAAATTCACCTTAACATTAACAATTTAAATATTTTAATTTATCAAAATGTACCCTAACCTGCAAATCCACACAGTGGACAATTTTTTTGAAGTATTGCTGTATCTGTAATAAAAATTTAGAAATTTAGAAACTAATGAAAATAATAGTAAAGAAATGTTTATTTAAAAGTAGAAAAAATAGCAGTTACAAAATTTTAACTTGGTCTAAATATTTATCACTGTAAAATAGTTTACCTTTGTTCTTCATTTGTACATCAGAAGAATTTTTCATGTGTTGTAATGATCTGGGAAATGAACTTGAAGAAGAATTATTTTTTTGCTTGAACGCTCTAAATAAATAATAATGAAATGTTTATTTAGAAGTAAAAAAAATAGCAGTAACAAAATTTGAACTTGGTCAAAGTATTAACTACTGTAAAATGTTTTACCTTTTTTCTTAATTTGTATATCTGAAGACTTTTTCATGTTTTTTAATGATCTGGGAGATGGACTTGAAGAAGAAGAATTATTCTTCTCTCTTGAACGCTCTAAATAAATAATAAAGAAACATTTATTAAGAAGTAAAAAAAAATAACAGTTACAAAATTTTGAACTTGATCAAAGTATTAACTACTGTAAAATGTTTTACCTTTTTTCTTAATTTGTATATCTGAAAACTTTTTCATGTTTTTTAATGATCTGGGAGATGGACTTGAAGAAGAAGAATTATTCTTTTCTCTTGAACGCTCTAAATAAACAATAAAGAAACATTTATTAAGAAGTAAAAAAAAATAGTGATTACAAAATTTTGAACTTGGTCAAAGTATTTACTACTGTAAAATGTTTTACCTTTTTTCTTCGTTTGTATATCCGAAGACCTTTTCATATTTTTAAATGATCTGGGAGATAGACTTGAAGAATTATTCTTCTCTCTTAAACGCTCTAAACCATAATAATTCATGAAAATAAAAATGCACAATAATTTAGGTACCTATATTAAGTATGGAACTTACTGGACATATTGGATACATAAATTAAATTAAGTGATGATGATGATGGTCCAGCATCATTTATTGAAAAGTCAATATTTGTTTCAATATCTGGGGACTGTAAATTTTCCTTATCTATTGGGTAGAAAATTAATTTAAATTAAAAAACATAAATACATATTAATATGTTTAATGACAATACAGTACATAATTTAGGACTTACCAGATATTCTTCCACTTGCAATGGTATTTAAGAGTGGGACATTCAAATACTGTCTAAGATCATCATTACTTAACTGCATAATATCTTCTACTTCATCGGAACTATTTACATCATCTATATTACTGCTATGTACTACTACATCTGAATATGCCTTTTTCATTCGCCTTAATCCTTGTTCATAACTGTCTAGAAATATAAAATTGAACGAATAATATAAAATTACCATCTAAATTAAATTGATTTTTTAGTCATTACAATTTTTAAATGCTAGTAGTGTGAATACTTACGGGCTTCTTTTACTATGCTAATTTCAAAGCTTCTCCATGTTGCTTTATACATCAAGGAATTTTTGCTCATAACATCTATTTTATTGTATTCATTTTTATCTGGGTATTTACAATATAATATTTTTTCATCATCATAGGTCCATGCAATAGGTACAAGGTCAATAGCTTGTTTTGCATTTCCAGAATCTTGTTTAAATTTGATAACAATGTAAGTTGTGTCTTTTTTGTAATTCATGTTTATTTATACTAAATAAAATATATTAAATAATAATAATTAATATAATTATAACTTAACAATTAAAATATTATTACATAGGTTAGTACCTATAGAGTATTATAACTTTTACTGTAATAACTTTGGTATAAATGATATAAATATTTACAAATTTGGTCAATAATGATTATTATTATTATTAGCTTAAGATTCATGAAGATATGTGACAGCAAACACATTTTTGTTTTCAAAAAGAACACATTTTTTGAGAACATTTTCTAAAAGAACCACTCTTACAGTTTTTGATAATCGTCCTAATTTCACGATTCCAATTTTTGTTGATTGGCAGGGAAACTCAAAAGCGTCAGTTGCATCTTTAAAAATATTTCCATGAAAAATAATATTGCGTTCCTCACATCTAATTATCCTTGTAATTAAAAGAATCTCACCAGTTTTAATTTTTACAACATTATTAGGTTTTGATGTATTTAATTCAACACCTCGAAAAATTATACTTTTTAAATCAAATTTATGTTCATAAGAAATATCATTGTAAAAAATTACAGATTTTTTTTTATGTATACAATTTTTGTTAGCCATTTCTGGGCATGCTTTTTGCTCCGATACTCTTCTGACCAATTGTACCAAGGGGTTTGTTCTTCCTGTAATCATCCTTTTAATTTTACCTAAACAGTTTTCGAATGGAAATGCCGAAATGTTAGATAAATATGTTTTCGTGTTTTCTACATCATCTGCAATATGAATAAGGTTATGGCTATTCATAACTTGAGAATCAACACCATAAAAAGATGGAAGAAGCTCAACAAATTTTACTAATAACTCTCTTGCATAGTTAATATTCTCGATGTATAATTCCGAGTCACACAGTATTCTACATGCGACAAACAAGAGTAGAAAATGTCTGTTCATTTGTTTGGGCAAAATTTTATGAAGCACTAATGGTCCGCAATAATGTAGAAAAAAACGAAACTGAGTGGCTTTCCAATAGCTAAATTTATCTAAATCCAACTTTTTCCTCTGAAATTCTTTAGGTATTAATTGAACTGATTTCTTCAAATTTAAATTTAACTGTTTAATGGCACGTCTAGGTAGTTTTAGTTTACATTCTCGATTTACCCTCTTCGTATTATATATTGCTGCAATAACCATTTTGTAATTCCCAAGTATAATAAATGCATTGAGTCTAAAAATACCAATTTTACTGGGTCGAAGTTTGGTATATTTAAGAATGGTGAAATGCCTTCTAGATGGTGCTCTTTTTGGCGTTTTTTTTATAAAAGACCGTTTTGATCGTTTTCTAGAAATTACACTAGGATAGACCCTCTTTTTATTTTTGGTTTTTCCTCTTGTCTCACAGCGTTCACATGCATAAAAACCTCCATGGCCTTTACATTTTTTAATAAATGATCTAGCCGGTGTGTCGCAAGAAAACCCAACTAGTTCAATTTTAAATATTCTATTTCCTATAGTCACTCCATTTAAAATCAATGTATTTAATTCAGCAACTAAATCATTCAAAAACTCTTCTACAGTTTTAGGTTTAGAATCGCCGCTGTATACAGCCACAATAAGCGGTTGAGATTGATATTCATTATGTATAATTAAGGCTAATATGGGCCAAACTTGTTGATTTGAATTATTAAATAGTGGTAACCCATCAATGTTGAATAATAAAGAAATAACATTTTCAGTATACTCTTCTGTGATCTGCCCTTTTAAACCTTCTTCGATACTAAAATATACATAATGTCCTATGGTGTTTTTTAAACTTTCCATTTCTATTACATTACAATTTGATTTTGTTTCTATTAAAGTAGCCGCTAGTTTCAATGTACAATCTGGTTTCGTTGCCGCTCTCTTTCCTCGTTTTCCCTGGTGGACTGCACTTGGTTCACGAAGTCACTTGCCACATCCCAATTTCTTCCCCTTTTCAGCATACATGGAATTATGTGCTCCGGGGTCACCTCTTCTAGTCGCTGCCTCAACCACCTGTCGCATTTGAAGAACACGTGCTCCGCGTCGTCCATGAAGTCTTGGCAATCCACACATGTCGAGGCTTCAATCTTCCCGAACCCCGAACCGTTGAAGGTACTGCCCGAAACACCCATGGTTAAACAAGAACTGAGTCAAATGGAAGTCCACCACTCCGTGCTTCCTGCTCCTCCATGCGATGACGTCGTTGATGAGTCTTTGTTTCCATCTTCCGCTTTCTCCACTTGTCCATACGATCTGCCATTTCTCCATTACTGCTGCTCGGGTCTCGGTTGACACGCGTCTCCCGTCCGGTTCGTGCCTGCGCCTGTACATCTCCATCCTCTCCCATGCTGGCAGGTGGGCCGGTATCAGTCCCGCTATCACCAATACCGCAGCCGTCGATACTGTGTGATATGCCGTTGCAACCCTTAAGGCTATCGCCCTCTGAGGCCTTTCCAAGGTTTCTACATTACCTCTAAACACCAGCGCCACGGCCCATATTGGCGAAGCGTATAAGACCTTGCTCGTCACCACCGTGGAGAGTAAGGCCCTCTTCCTCTGATCCGAGCCTCCAACATTAGGCATAAGTCTTGATAAGGCAGTTGACGTTGCCTGTGCTTTGCCCGCCGCCGCCTTCACGTGCGCCTTGAAGCCGAGCACTTTATGGAGTACCACTCCTAGGTATGTGATATTGTCTTTTATCTCTATAAGGTTGCCCAAAATTTTAAACTCTGGTAGGCTATACCCTCTCTTCATGGTCAACATCACCGCCTCCGTCTTCCTCACAGACAGGGTTAGGCCGGCGCTCATCATCCATTCTGCGACTCTGCTCAAAGCCTCGTTCGTTACCGAATCGAGCAGCCATGTCGTGTGGCCCGTTGCCACTACAGCCACGTCATCAGCGAAGGCCACTAGTTCGGTGGACCACATTCCACGTTCGTTCCCTCCTGTGTCCACTTGTAGGAGTTCGTCATACATGATGTTCCACAAGAGCAACCTGAGCACGGAACCTTGTGGAACACCGCACGTGGTAGGACTTGTGTTCCCTCCGTGTTCCACGGTCCGGTCACATAGATAACTCTGAATTATCCCGACGAGATAAGGGGGCATCCCCTTGTCATTCAGAGATTTAACAATTTTCGGCCACGTTAAATGAGTTAGCCTTGTCCAACGCGACTACTGAGCATATCTTCCTGTTGTAGAGCGGCCCGGAACCAACTGCTTCGACGACACTGAGGACGCGTTTAATGACATCGACTGTCGATCTTCCCTTCCTGAACCCGTATTGTCTGTCATCGAGGTTGCCATTTCCTTCAAGCTGCTTTTTGATCCTGGTCTTGATGACTCGCTTGAACAACTTGCCCACTGTGTTGAGGAGGCAGATGGGCCCATACGACGAAGGGTCTTCCAGCGGTTTATCGCCTTTTTTGAGGACGACGACGAGCCTCGCCGCATTCCAGGAGCGTGGAAATACCGCTTCCTTGAGGCATTTATTGAAAACGTCTCTCAGGATCTCCGGCTTCACCCTGGCGACTTCCCTGATTACCAGGTCGGGCACACCATCAGGACCCGGCGCTTTTCCGGTTGGGATTCTCTTGCGGAGTTCTTCGATCTCGGCACATGTTACCTCCGGGAGGACGTAACTCTCCGTACATGGCGGCCAAACGGCGGCTGTCTCCCTTGGGATGAGGGCGTAAATTATGGACTCCGCTCTTCCTGGCACTGAAAGACCTGGAATTGGCCTTCTGCCTACCAGCTTCTTTGTTACCAGTTTATATGGTAGACCCCATGGATCAGATTCCACTTGTTTGCACAGGTCATCCCAGCTATCCTTTTTACTTTTCTTGATGGCGACCTTCAGTTCCTTCCTTGCCAGCTTGAATTCTTCCTTCCTCTGTTCATGGTCCAAGGGGTGGTTGGAAACATCCCCTCTTGTATCTGCGTCTGGTTTTATTGCATACCTCACGCAGTCTGGCGATGTCCTGCGTCCACCAGTAGGCGGGTTTCTTGCCTCCCCTGTACCTACCTTTAGGCATACAGCTGTCGCATACGTCCTTCAGATATTGATCTAGCCGACCCGTGGCCGGCAGCGTGTCTTCGCCCATTTCGAAGCTGGCCGAGTCGATAAACCTCGCTAGTTTTGAGCTATCATATTTTCACCATGACCACCTATCCTCGGGGGGAAGACGCTCCGAGTGTGGTGTTCCCTTGATGCTGAAGGTTATGTAACTATGTAGAGACGCGCTGTACTCATCCAATGGCTTCCAGTCCTTCACCAAGTGACTGCTTCTGTCGTTGACGAACGTAACATCAATGTGCGACCTCGATATTCCACCGGCGTATACTCTTGAAAATGTCGGTTTGTCGCCACTATTGCAAACAGTGAGGCCAAGGCTAGCAGCCATGTCCGCTAGTGCGCGCCCTTTTGGCTCCTCTGTGTGGTCGCCCCAGATCATTGATTTCGCGTTGAAATCGCCGGCGGCTATGACGATACCCACCTGTTGCCTAATGCTGCCTTCTAGCCTATCCAGAAAGTCTATGAACAGTGTGTATACGGTATTAGGTGACCAATAGCAGGCGTACACTGTGGAGTCCTCCAGGTTTTCTTACGAATACTTTGTGGTTAAGTCAATAGATACTTACACTAAGCTCTCGCTGACAGGCGAAAACCTCTGATGAACGGCCGCCACGACCCGGGGGCGCGAGTCTCCGGTTCGTTGTCGGTTCCTCTCGGGCGTCTAGCCGCTATACCGGTGTAGTATCATCGGAGGTTGGGTGTAACCAGAAACACTCGGTGTGGAGATAGCACACAGCCAGACCAGGCGAATTCAGGCGGCACTTGGCCTGTCTTCTTGGTACGGGACCTCGGTCCCGGTGCTCGTGGTCCATAGACGACGCGCGGCCGGCGGACTGGGCCACCGTACGTCGACCGTGAACCTCCGCGGCTCTCGACTAGCGCACAGCGCTAATGTGAGGTCCGCGGTTGTAGCCGCAAGGCACCAAAACCCGGGAGTCTTCGTGTGGAGTCCTCCACTTTGACCCATCGGAAACCCGCGTTGTCCTTGGGGCCGATAGTTTGGATTTGCAGACCAGGATTGAAAACTACAATGGCTGCCTTTCCTCCGATGTTGCTGAACCATCCTTCGGACTCCGAACCGCAGGGGTATGGTTCGCTAACGATCAGCACATCAATACCCATGCTAGATGCGGTTGCCAGAGCCAGGTCCTGGGCCGCCCTGCATACGCCTACATTGATTTTCAGTACGTGGATCATTGTGGGGTTTCAGCGTCCGCCCTCACGTCGTCACTGCCAGCCTTGCTGGTTACCACCATTAACTTCGTAAAGGACAGAGCGTCCTCCTTCGTAGCCACGCAGGTGTTGACGAAGTGACCAACCTGTCCGCAACGCCTGCAACACTTGGTCCTATTCGGGCCGGAGCACTCCTTCGCTGTGTGGCCATGTGCAAGGCACCGAAAACACCTAATTTTCACGGCTCAAACATAGACATATTAATAAATGGACTGCGCTTAGAGAGAGAAATCATGAAATCGACATTGATGAGAGAGATACAAACTGTTGGGGGCAACCATGGAGGAAATAATTTAAAATTATTCCATGATATTATCAACTATTCCCGCGATCAAAGATAGTACTATATATACTAAATATAGCTGTGATCTGTGATCCCTGCAATCGATTGCACTCATAGACTTAAAGTCTTTAAGTCTATGATTGCACCTACTACCTGCGTCAAGCACCTCTAATTGGCACTTTGGGCTTCGGCTATAGTTTAATAAGTTTTTTATTTATTAGGTATATTTATTGTATATAGCCATATAGGTAACAATAATACCTAAAAATGAAAGTTTTTTCTATTAAAGGTTGTAAAACAACCATTAAAGAAGAAGGTATTAAAATGCATGGGTGAGTAGATATCATATTGCCAGTTAAATAATTTATGTAATTATATGTACTCATATTATATAATATGACTCAACTATGATATTCATTTAGTATACCCAAAGGGAATATTGGTGATCAATGGGTCCACCAAATAAGACAATTTCAGCCAGATTTTCAGCAAACAAAATATAGCGTGATTTGTAGTAAACATTTTATTGAATCAGCTTATTTTGAAGGTGGAATATATGGTAAAAAGGTTTTGGACAAATCTGCACTACCTAGTTTATTTAAAAAACGTTAGTACCTACCATTAGGTACCTATATAGCATAGTATAAATGTGTTACAATATATCTATTTCTTTTACTGTTTTTTAATGTAGCTATCAATAAAAATCTTTTTCCAAGTGAAAATAATGACGTTGTTGAGGTATTTCCTGACAATTTGAATGTAACATTCGTCAGTGATAGTGAGTGTCAGTTAGATAAACAGAATACTCAATGTATGTATTCTAATTGATTATTTATGTTTTTATATCTTTGCATAACTATACTAACCATTTTGAATTTAAGGTATGATACCAGAACAAATGGTTTTCAAAGACTCAGATGAATCAATAAATTCTGCCATTATAGATAAACCAATGCCTATAAAATCCATGTAGGTATAATTGTATTTTAAATATCCCTTATTATTTGTATTAAGCTATAGACAATATTAAGTAGACATTTATTTGTACGGGTATGTTTTAATTTTTATATTTATACAATTATATATTGTATGATTTCAGGAAGCGCAAATTCTATGCAAGGGATTTCAAAAGTATCGACGATATAGAAAGTCCAAACAGCAGATTAAAATATTGGATTGCCTCAAAAAATGAACACGAAAATCATATAAAAAAAAATCAAACAACTGAGATTAGCTAACTTCCGTCTAAAAAATAGAATAGAAACAATGCATGGTTTAATAAGTCACTTAAAAAATGAGAAAAAACTAATTTCAGATAATTGTTTTTCTGTTCTTAAGGTATATTTTGATTTAATTTAATGTAAGCGATGATTTTCTGTTCTTGTGTATCACACAGGCAATATTGCAATATTTAGTTGCATTCTAATTACTTTACTGATGATCGCATAAGTATTAAGAAAACTAATTTGTTTGTATACAAAATATTATAAATTGCTCTTCTTCATTCAAAATTCATCTGATTTAAAAAAAAAAATGTTTTGTTCACATTATCAATAAATAATCAAACAAATTTGCTATTTTAAAATCTTACAAAAAATAGTTAGGTTAGTTAGGAACCTAACCTAATATATTTTTTTTTAAGACCACGGTAAAAGATGGGCTCTTAGTCATATATTACATTGTTAAAAACAGCACCCCAATATATTTTGAATTAGAGCTACTGACTTTCCAATTAATTTACATACCTACTGTAAAAGTTGCTGTTGCCTATGTGATAGAAAGAAACATAAATCACCATTTCCAATTCTTTAAATGTAATATATGTTAATTTAAAACCAATTTCTTCATACTCTATCTTGTGGTGCATGCTAACCATAGGCTGTCATTCAGTCTAGAACTTTGAAATGCTACCATTATTTACCCCAAGGTGGCCTGTTTTTGTTTGCACATTAAAACTGGTAAATTTTTATATTTTTTATTAGAATTTTATGTTAATTATGTCATCCTATGATCAGTGGCGGATCTAGGATTTTTTTGATGGGGGGTGCTAAAGGGCTACAACTCATTTCCGCACATTTACTTTTTTTACAACCCGTTTACTCACAATTTATGAACAATTAAGGTTAAGGTCTCATATGTATACTCCATCCTAATGGCAAGACTTGTTTTTAGTGAATGTGCTTAATATTCATAGACGAAACTACGGGACAGGCCAGTCAAGCCCTGGCCTGACCTAATACTGACTAAAAAATTGTACATATTATATATTTTAATACCTTCAATGTCCAAGTCAAGATATCATTTAATGCTATTTAAAAAAATTATCTATTGTTTGTTGAATTTATCAAGTCACAAACCTGTGAAAAAGACCGTGTGTGACTTAACTCGGAATTAATTTTGTTCAATATTATTTTCGTTGGTGATTATTTTTTTTTGATACAAAAAAAACAATCATAATCGTTTATTATTATAAATGTATTAATTATTATAATTTTTTAATTATTATTAAATAATTAAACTGTAAAGAATAATTCTTTATCTTCTTCTTCTTTATATATAAAAATGGAGACAAAAAATTAGAAATAGCATCAGTTGAGAACGGCTTGGCCGATTTTGCTCAAATTTTTTTTAAATGATAGAGAATGTCGGCGAGCGGGTTTATAGCATAAATTATGGACCTAACTCATGTTAGTTAGAGATTTAGAGACAAAAACTGAGTTACACCGGTGGCGCCATCTAGCAGATAAAAATATAAATATAAATATAATATAAATAATAATAAAAATCGAAAAAAAAAATATATTTTTATATTCTGGTTGATATACCTTTTTTTATTATAGACACTTATAACTTAAGAGTAAACAAATATAATAGTTGGCACATTATTCATTTTACTTTGAAACATTATCGTTTTATGTTATCTATGAGCTTTTTCAATCAAAAACGACTATTGTTTTTTGGAGAGAATTTTTATACTTGAATCATGCCTCCTATGAGAAGAACAAACATTGGACGGCGTACACGTAATGCAAGAAAGATTAATGAATTTAGACGTGCCCATAATACTCAGGCCAGCGCTGCACAAACGCCGCCTCAAATTCGACAACATGTTATTATAAGAAGAAGAAGAAGTTGAAATTGACCACGAACATGAGAGTTGCGTTGCAAAACGACCCACCGGCTGCCGAATTCTCGAGACAACTGCTGGCGTTTGGTAATGGACACATTCCGATTGATGTTTTGACTGGATTAATATCGTTTCCGGCAAATTTTTGTGAGTTCACATCGTCGAAGGAAGAACTCATTACAAAAGTGTTCCCAAACATTGATGTCAATTATAACAATCTCGATTGGATGAGTGAACGGGCAATACTAGCAGCGAGGAATAAGGACGTCGATAGCTTGAATTTTACAATTCAGAGTAAAATTGCTGGAGAACTGCTTGCATACAAATCCGTTGACAAACCGACGAAAACGAAGCGGTCAACTATCCGACAGAATTTTTGAACTCGCTTGATGTGCCCGGACTACACCGCATAATTTACAGGTTAAAGTGGGATCGATCATAATTATGTTGCGGAATCTAAATCCTCCTAAATTGTGTAATGGTACACGATTGTCCGTTAAGAAACTGATGAACAATGTAATGCAATCAACGATCATCAAGGGCAATCGTTGGAAGTCTGTGGGATCAATTTGGAATTTCCATGTTTTTCGCACGGACAGCTGTACGTTGCCAGTTCGCGTGTTGGAAAACTGGCTTCGTTGTTTATTTTTGCATCAGAAAACAAAACGAAAAACATTGTTTATCAAAATGCATTATATTGATTTCTGTAACAATTCATTACAATGGAATACTTGAATTTTATTATCAATATATACTTTATTTGAAGACGTATCAGAATTTTTATTCAGGGCAACGGAAGAGTTAAGATTAATATTGAAACATTTGAAACGATACGCCGGATATTAAATAACGAATTGAACAAGGCTTGAGTCACATATAGCTGGTACACTTATAATGGGCAACATATAATGGGCAACGAAGTGCACGGGTTCAGCTAGTATAATATATAATAGTAAACAAAATTACTACCTTTATAAAGTTGTTAATAGAAGTTTTTTTTAATATTTTAAATTTGGCCTGCCCTAATAAAAGTGTCTAGTTTCGCCTATGTTAATATTTAAAAAGGTGGCAACTCAACTTTTCTTTTTTGGTACTATTTTTGTTTAAAAATGTCTCCAGCCTACTGAAAAATACATGTTGTGTAGAGTATTTATTTTCCAGAAAGCAACATGCCAAGGGGGGTGCTTTATCACCCTACCACCCCCCTCTGGATCTGTGCCTGCCTATGATGTTTTGTAAACAATTTTGAAAGTTGTAAGTATAAATAAAACTAAAAACTAATTACATATTAATATATTATAGTAATGAATAATGATGAATGATGATTATCACTTATCAGTATCACTAGTATCAGTAATACCAAGGTGGATATATCCCACCAGCAGGGACACCGTGTCTCAGCATCGCATGACTTTTTTTACTTCTACCACCTGTTTGTTTTTCTCCTCGTTAATGATGAACGCCAGTTGGTTGAAGGCAGTGCCCAATTTTTTCACGTGACTCCTGGAGAGCACTGACCACTGATAGCAACTCCTTTATCGTATCCTTGGCTTCATCACTGAGCAGCTTCGGTATTACGGCTTCGAGGGCTTTGGCTTTGGTTCCAAGCAATGAGATCCCGCCATCCTGGACCTTCACTATCGCGCCCAGAGCCTTCGCCGTCGAATATATTCTATCGTGGTTGCTGGTTCTGCTTGGTTCTGTCCCAGCATCTGGCCCCGTCTGGCTCGCGCTTGTGTCGCCCATTTCAACGGAGTGGGCACCCAATCCGAAGGTATCGGTGCCCTGCTCCGCTGTTTGCTGTTGTAGAGGAACACTGTCCCTATCCCACCCCTCTAACGGCGCCACTGAGGGGGGTAGGAGGTTACGGTTTCTTGTTCGCAATCGTCCTGGTAGGTCAGAGGGTTTTGGGAGGGCAAATTTTGCCCAACACGACTGAGGTGATATATAAATACCTTTTTTTTTTTTTTTCTGTTTGAATCGCACACCAGGGAGGGAACTAGGTTTCCCCATTACTGCCTCCCTGGGCACATCATTTATTAATGAAAATCACACAATACAATATAATGCAATAAACAAATATTTAATTTAACAAAATATGGGGGCCTCTAACCACCCTGAAGCGGCCGTTCATCCCACAATATACAGTGCTTAACTAATTTATATATACATCTGCACGCTGCCGTTCTCTTTCCATTTCCTCCTTGCGGCCCATGATGTCTTCTACCATGTGGATGAACAATTCCCTCCTTCTGGTGGCTGCCAAAATGATTCTCCTCCTGGTTGGCAGGTCCTCTGGCAGCTCCGCCGGAACTGGCCCGCAAAGCACGTTCATGACATCATCGGGACGAACAGGTCTTCCCAGTGACTGCTCCAGTTGCATTCTTTCACCGCTCCAATGCATGCACACGAACAGCGTGTGTTCAGCATCATCTGACTCCGCCGGGTATTGTAGGCAGGCTGGGCTGCGCGCCTTGTCTCTGGTCCACAGGTACTTCTGGAAGCATCCGTGTCCCGTGAGAGCCTGAGATGAGAGATGGGCAGTCGGAACGAAGTCGTGGTTGTGCAGTCACCATGTTGAACAAAATGTATGCGTGGCCGCTAGCTGAATGCACGTCTTCTAACACCATCCAATCCGTGACCAGGGGGTGGTTTCCGGGCAGAGGCCTCGCCATAGTGACGTCGATGACCAATGCTGCGTTTGCCCGTGCATACGTCGGAGTAGAGCCTCTATTGCAGATCGTCATATCTAGGGTCGAAGCCAAGTCGGATAGCAGCGAACCTCGTGCGTCATCCGTAGCTGAACCCCTAACCCAATCTAACCTTTTTTTTTTTTTTTCCTGTTTGAACGGACGGCGTCGCGGGAACTGCTTTCGCATTACTTCCGCGACGCCACCATCGTTTATTGAAATTAAATAAATTTAACATTTTATAAAATTTAATATTCACACCTTTTGTTTTGTCCCTTAATGGGCGCACATTGAAACTAATTTACATTTTATTAATGAAATAACATTGTTGGCTTAAGGCCCGCTGGTTGCATTTTTTGACTTCTCGACCCGGCTTTGCAGCCCGACAGTCTTGAAGTCACGTTTGTGGTCTTCACGGCCCGGCTTGTTAGCCAGTCGGCCTCGAGTCTTGTGCCTCGCAATTCTCCTTCCTTTGTACTGGAGTTTGCGTCTCGCCGGTGATGGTTTGCCAGTTTTCCTTCTGCCCGTTTTCCTGTTGTCTCGTCCTTCTGCGAGCCTTGCGGTCTGCGGCGCCTCCTGATGCTGGGCCCGGCCCCTCTCACTCTCAATCTCGATCACCCGGACGGTGACCAACCGTGCTGTGGGCGTCCTACTAATGCTCCGGGGCGCACCTGCCGCTGTGGGGCAGTTTCGGATGAGGTGATTGGGGGTGCGGGTGCGCCGGTGTGGAGCGGCTTTCCGCTCGTCTTCCAGAGTCCGCCTTCGGCTGTTGTTGTCAGGTAGGTGCGATGTTTGCCCTCTCTGGTATGTTGCCTGTCGGTGTTTTGGTTTGTTCAGTTTTCCTTTTGTTTCCTCCGTTCGTTCATTCGTCGTGCTGCTCGGTGCTTGGATGACCGGTCGGCGGATTCTTGAGGCGTTCTGACTAGCGGCCTTTCTCATCAATCGCGATCACCCGGACGGTGACGAATCGTGCTGTGGGCGTCCTACTAATGCCCCGGGGCCCGCCTGCCGCTGTGGGTCAGTTTCGGATGATGATACTGAGCCGCATAGTTTACTAACCGCTGGGTCCCCGTCTAAACTTCCCGGTCGTCTGTGCATCGAGCCTTCGGTCCGTGTTGTCGGTAGTTGGAGGGCGATGTTGGCCCTCTCTGGTCGCTGGTGTTGACCCGCCGGTGTTCGGTTTTATACAGTTTGCCTTCTGTGCCTCCCCCGTTGGCCGGAACCGGAATTCCGTTTCCAGTCGGCACCGCGTGGAGGTGGGGGTAGGACTCTGCCGACCAACCCAATCTAACCTAACCTAACCTAACCTTCTATCAGTCACCCTAATTTTTAGCTTAATTGGTTTCCTCTAAGATATAAAAAAATATGTAACTATTTCTTTCTGAATGTGATAAAATAAATGTAGTTGAAAAACTCAACGAAAATGCATCTGAAGATGAGCATGATGGTGCTAGTGATAATGAATTCTATATTATTCTAAATGGGGCTGATGATGATTTTGAAGGATGTAATTCTGGAGATAGTGTATAAGAAAACAGAAGGGAAATAATAATTTATCTAGTGTTCAAGCTCTTTTTTATTTAGACTCTAAAAATAAAGAATTATCATTATTAGATAACTTTCCCATAGTCAAACAAGTTTTTTTTTAAGTATAATACGCCCCTTCCATGGTCTGCTCCTGGTGAGAGACTTTTCAGAAGTGGTTCTCAAATATTAACTCCTAGGAGGAATAGGCTCAGGGATTCGATACTTAAAATGCTGTTATGCTGTAGGTGTAGTCAAAATAAATTATATTTCAAGTTCATTATGTTTAATTATATTATGTAGATACATGAAGATTATATACATTTTAATACTCCATGTTTATTAATTTGAAAAACATTACTACTATAAAACATTACTGTTCATTACATTTGACATACATGTAGATTATAATATACTTTTTAATACAACACATTTTTATAATTAATTATAATACCTATTATATAATTATCCTGATAAGAAGAGATTGTAATTTTGTAAAGTGCTTAATGCTTAGTTTTTTAGTTAATTTAAAAAACATTACTCCTGTTAAATTGTAATTAAAACAACTACGATAAAATAACCTAACCTCGTATGTTTAATTTAGTTGGTTAGTATATTATATTAATTTATATTATTATTATATTATGTATGTTTCATAATTATTATCAATATATATTTATACAAATGAATTGCTGTTCGTTTGTCTCGCTAAAACTTAGGAACTGCCCGACCGATTTGGCTCCAATTTTTTTTATAATAAAAATGATAAAAAAAAATAAATAATAAAAAAATTAGTTTCTGATTAAAATAATAATAGTGTATTGTATATTGGTTTCTATTGGTTAATCGGGCATGTTTGTTGATTTGTATATTGTTATTGTTTTATTTTTATTTTTTACTCGAGAACGGCTAGTCAAAATGGCTCAAATTTTGACATTTTACGTCTTTGCTTTGGCACATAGAATCGAAAAACGTTACGTTACGTTACAAAAAAAAGTTATTTATTTATGTTTATAAATGGTTGCCATGGGTTTTAAAACTATTATAATAATAATTATTATGTCTTTGCTTTGGCACATAGAATCGAAATCGAAAAACGTTACGTTACATGATAAAGAAAGAAATAAAAGAAATGATAACATGAGGAACAGTTATGATAAAAACATATTACTTCAATACCAAAAGTTGAAAGTCACTATGCAAGAACAGATACAAAAAAAATGGATGGGATGACTTATATCGCCGAAAACAGCCGGGTGGGAAATGTCCATTTAGCATTATTAAATGTTTTCAATTATATTATTAATTCTATAATATTAGCAATAGTATTCTATGTTAGGTAATGAATGTATTGATTTTACAATGTGTACCTATTTAATGAAGCGGTTAACCGAGATTATATCGCAGTATTGTTTTATTTGGAATTGAAAATGGGATTATTTTTATTTTTATAATACACGCGTAACAGACACTATTTAAATATGTTTTGTTTGCAATATACTGATTTATCCATAGTAAAGCTATAAGAATCTTGAAAACAGATTTATACTTGTCTTAAGGTTTACTTAAGATCGATTATTCCAAATTTCCGATTTTAATTTTTTGAAAAATTGAAATATGAGAATATTTTAATATAACTTTCACAGAGTTTATTATTTCTAAGTTTGAAGTTAAAATTAATTAACAAAGAAATAATAGTTTTTTTTTTTAATTTTAGTAATTACCAAAACAAACATGATTAGTTCACATTAGAAAAAAAATACAGTATTTTAATATTATTTGTATTTAATAAATACATTTTACGTTATATAATTTCCTCCTTAATTTTTCAGCTTTACTGAAAACTATTCTCAATTACCTACTTGGCATATTTCAAAGTAGAAGTCATAAAAATATCTGACACTCAACAAGAAATCATTGATTCTTTAAAGAATTTAAGATCTAATACAACTAAGTTTAATTCATGGACTGGTGATATCCAGCGGTACACTGTCTTATCACCAATCATAATCATGTTATCATTTTAATATGAAATAATAAATAATAATATTATATCCTTTATATCCTATGCTTTAAAACGACAAGGAAAACAGCTGTCTATAGTGTACCAATGGAAAGGAAAACGCAGGCTATAGTGAAACCGTGGCGTAAAAAATGAAACACCTCTCCGTTTCCCCAGCCCGCCGGCCTTATCCCGTCGATTCCTTAAGGCGCGTCCACACGAGAGCACGCACAAGCTGAGCATGTGTGCTCACGCCGTGCGTCGCACAAATTCACATCGTTTGGACGAAATTCCGAGCACGCACGAATGCTCGCGATGCACAGCGAACGCGATCCGATTGTTGTCGGTAAATTGTGATTGCTCAAAGACATAATTGCCCGAATCACTGCTCCGTTTGGACGCGTGCGTAGAAAAAGTTCACTTGCTCATGCGTGCTACTGTGCTAGCTACTTAACTCTTTAGTTTTTTAATTACATTTTTAAACAAAATAATTGAAATGGAGTGGTGCAACGTAGACTGCATTCAGTTTATCCAAGAGTATCAACAAGAAGAAGTATTGTGGAATCCAAAACACGCATTCTATTTCTCTAAAACCAAAAAACAAGATGCGTGGGAAGAAATAGGTAAAAAGCTCAACAAAAATCCCGAAGAAGTTAAAAAAAAAGCATTAAGTCTATTAGGATCTTATCGCCGAGAAAAGGCCAAAGGGAAGAAGACCATGGGGACTGGTACAGGTACGTTAAATCATATTATATTAATATTGTATGGTAATAATTCCATTGATTATAAACACTACATTAGTATATAAGTAAAATATATTAGTATGATAATTAATGATATTATAAATTAAAATATACTTAATATATAACGGGCATCAAAAGGAGAGATAAATAAGTAGTTTTATTTACCTTTTAACACGGACTTTTAAGATTATAACTATTATGATATTTATAATATATCCACGTCCAGTGTACACTGTAACCAACTGGAAATTGTATTAATTGTTATTTAAATTAGCCATAAACTATCAGTATCACAAATAAGAATCAATATTTAGGGCCGTGCCACACTATGCGTTTTATCGGGACCGGTCGATTCCTGCCGCTGACCGACCGCAACATGTTGCGGTTTGGCAGGAACCAACTCGACGGGAAGTTTAAACAAAACACGTTATATTGTATATTTATAGCTTTGTTTTATTGGTTTATTTCTTTACTGTAAATAAATAAATTCTTAACAGCCCTAAGTTATGAAAAACCCTAAAATTTAATTTTTAAAATAACAAATTTATAAAGGAATATAAATAATTTAATTGTCCTGTACTAATAGCTAATAATACAAAAAAAAAATAACAGAAATGACTAATGACTGACAAGTGGTTAACTATTCTATATTTTATATTATTGAAAACAATACAAACTATTTGTTAAATATTAGTATTATATTAGTTTAATATTATAATATAAAGAAAATATAAAGTTATTTATTATTAATTATTATTGAAAATAACATAAGAACTGGATCATCGTATAAACATAGTACTTACCTATATAAGTGTAGAATTATTTACAATTTTAAATAGAATTTACAATTTACAAAGTGGTAAAATATAAATTAATTGATTATTATTTAGGACGAAAAGACGTTTATGTTTCCAAGTGGTTTGCCTTTGAGGCTTTTCAGTTTTTGCTAGATCGAGATGATCCTCGACCAACTCTCAGTACAGATAACGTGAGTACTTATAATTAATAAATTGTAATAATTTATATTTGTATACCTAAAGATAGGTACGTAATTTAATAGTTAAACTAAATTATGAAATATTGAAATAGGTACAAATAATACAATATACAAACATAATGGTTATGCATAGTTATTTTGCCAAGGCAGTGCTCCGTTTTCACTAAAATATGTTGCAAACTCGTTTCTTATTTCATGTGCAGTAGTTTTTGATTTACGGGGAATATTTCGAAGGGGTTGTAATGGTTGATCATTTTGTCTCCAATGTCCTTCTATCAAATGTCCTTCGTCCTCTCTATCGAAACAACCGGGAGGAGTATAAGTGTTTCGAGAGAAACTACTTTTCCTTAAAAAATTATGCAAATAAACAATAGTCATCACAACAATTTCTGCTTTTTCTGGCTCTAACAATAACGGTTTACGTAAAACACGAAAAATTGAGGAACAAATTCCAAAGACATTTTCAACTACTCTCCTACATCTGCTTAAACGGTAGTTAAAAACACGCTCTTTTGAATTCGTAGGGTGGGTGCCAGAAAAAGGTTTCATTATTATTTCGGTTAGTGGGAATGCTTCGTCAGCTACAAAAACAAATGGTATATGTATACTTCTTTGAGGTAGTGGCAGTGCTTGTGGTACATTTAAACTATTAGTTTCTATTTTTTTGTTAAGA